AAGATTTCTATTGAATACTGACTATATACTATCTGCTGTTCTAGGTCATGGGGATATCGTACTGAGAGACATAACCCTCCAAGAGCCTATAATTACTGATACAGATCAATATGCAAACATACAATTGTAACAGAGTGGGAAAAGTGCCTTGAAACAGGAATCACAGGGAGCTATAGAATCACATAAAAGGAACGAGGAAAATTACACAGAAGAACGTGAGAAACAAGTAACCACTGAGAAAATGAGAAACATTAGTACAAGATATACAGATAAGAAAGGAGCAGGAGGAAGAAGAGGAAACAACAGGAGTCTTACAGGAATGAGAAGATTGCTGAATGACAGTGCTGGGAGGATATATCAGCGAGTTGGCAAAGAAGGAGAGAAATTAAAAGAAGAGCCCCAGGACGTGGACTTAATCTGGCCCCCACGTCTGAACTCGTCCACTGAGGCCCCACCGAGCCTCCACCCGTCTACGCGTAGTGCGTGCAATGAGCCACCGCCCCAGAGCGGGCAGTTCTCAGGGCAGTATGGCACCCGTTCTAGAACCTTCCAGAGCCAGCCCCACCCCTCTGCGAGCTCCAACGGAGAACTTCCAGTGGTGAATTCATCAGCTGGATCCAACTGCTGCACTTGTAACTGCCAGTCAACATTGCAGGCCATTCCCCAAGAACTCAAGACCATGAGGAAATTAATGCAAATGCAAGCAGTTGGAACTCAAAATAGACAACAACCCCCAATTTCCCTTACATGCTCCCAGCAAACTGCTGTCTCACGCAAGAGAAATAAAAAGAAAAAGTTCCCCCAAAGACTGCTGAACCTCTTACTGCGAAACAGAAGCCCGGTGTGCCGGAAATGGAGAAGAAGACGGCTGTGGCCTCGGAGCAGTCTGGTGTCCAGGCAGCCGAGCGCGCCCCCACGGAGGACGGCCACGTTGTGGGAGTCGGCGTTGTTCTGGCATCACCTTCCTCAGATCTCCAGATGTACTTCAGAGATAAATTGAGGAAGATCTAATAAAGGCTTTATGTACATTAGCAAAATAGAAGAGAATAGAATTTTTATTATCTTAACCGATATCAGTATTATAATTTTATATATTATGTAAAAATAGTTAACTTTTTGTTCATGATTTTTGTTAACAAAAGCTGTTAAATTTGATAAAGCACATTCAGAATTGTTGTGAAAATTCAGGAGCTGGTTGTCTTTTTAGAATAACATGCTTCTAAAGAAAAAAAAAAAAAAGGCTCCCTGAGGGAAGACATGGTGGGAATGGAGAATGGAAAAAGAGTCTACATATCTAGATCAAACAGGGTAAGGAGGGAAGGGCAAAAGTAGAAGCTGCACAAGAAGGCCCTGTAAACCTCGGTAGCACTTCTGGCATTTGTCCAAAGCCAAACTGGGTTACACATATTTAACCAGTAAAATAGCATGATCAGATTTGAAATTCAGGTTGGTCATTATGATTGCATGATATAAAATGGATGAGAGGGAGACATGCACGAAGCAGGGAGACTCACTGCCCTGTGAAGTTATTGTAGCAATTTAGGTCAAAGAAATATGGAACTCTGGATGAGGATAATGACAGTGCAGAAATTGAAAACTGAGGAACCACACTTAACCAAGGAATAGAGACATTGAATCATCCTTGGGTGAACTGACTAAACTGAGTTTTATTACCTGCAAAGCCAGGAATAGCTCTGGGATTTGGTGACCCCACAAAGGTCCTCTTACCTTGCTAGATGTTAGCTAAACAGCCTGACAGATTTTTCATCTTCTTTTCTTTTTAAAATCCAACACTCACTTTTTTTAATGCTAGAGAACAGAGGTTAAGTACGGGATTTTTCTAGCTGGTGTTACCATCACAGGATGATTCAATGAAACCAGAAGGCCATATGAGGGCCTCTTTGGACACTTTCACCTGCTAATAACAGAGAGCTGTAGAATTCTTAGTTGAGCATATAAAGAGTGAACTTACTCAAAATGTGTGCCTGATCACTTGCGCATGCTGCTGACAATTATCTCTTCTTCAGCGAGAGCTGATGAATATTCTTCCTCGCCTGACTGCATACTAATGACAGCAACCTGGGATGAAGATCTTCTGGAGAAGAGCACATACAGTATTAGAACTTCCTGAATTTCAGCTTTGAACTTTGAAAAATGTACTAACTGATCCTAGACTAACTACTTTATAAAAACATAGGGGCCAGAGGCAATAATATATTTTCAATATTGCGATAGGTTCATTAAATTTACTAGGCTGCATATTAGCAGTCAGTGTACATTTGATGCAGTGGGGGACCATTTAGCTGGAGATGACTTGATTCATTCTATTATTGCTGTGACATGAAATATTTTCCTACAAAGATGTCTTATGCCTTTTAAATGTGAAAATGGGCCATTAAAATTCAAAGAAATATGATCTCATTTTCCTCCAAATAAAAGAAGTAGGGATAATAGGAATAAAGAGTTCTTGATAAAGACAAAAAATTAATAGATAAGTGGATCAATTTTAAAATGTATTTTGTAGTCACTTTCGACAGAGTAAATGGTTCCTCATATATTTTTTTATTCAACAATGTATAAGCATTGCCTCTCACTTTATACTGTACATGACTAGTAGCAAGAGTGTTACCTCACTTGCTAATCATCCAACAAAGAGAATGTGACTTAGTGATCAATGGCAATTACAATAAAATTGCAACATATGGTAAATTGAATCTTTTTGTACAGCGGCATTTAGTTGTTTGGAACCATGTACCAAATTAATGGGAACATCAAGTAAATTTAACATATTTGCTGTTTTAATTGGTCCTAAAGTAGGTAATTATGTTATCTATAAAGTTAGTTTGTCCTTTTTTTCATTATTTGTGATGGGCAGTTGTGCACCAGGCATACACTGATCACAATGCGATTGCAGCATATACGGTTGAAGCCTACCCCAAATACAGCCTAAGACGTGAAACAGGAATAAGCTGGAAGTTACTCTGAGGCACATTTTTGTATCACACTAAAAGGTGGTTTTACTGTTTTTGTTTTAATTGCAATATAGATGGAGTAAATACATAGCATTGTCCTTTAAATTCTTAAAATCTTTAAAAATTTCTAATAACTCAAGAGCAACCTAAATGGTTTTTCTTTTTGGATTATTTTGTCTTAAAGCTAACCAGACCATTGAGAGTCTTCAATATTCCAATTTCTGCCTTGTTAAATTCAATTTTTTTGCATAACGAACAGTTGCTAAAATTTTTATACTCCTCCTTGGAAGGAGAGGCAGTCTTTTCAATTGTCCCTTCATCAGTGATTCTCAATTTTTTTTTTTTATACTACCATCAGCTTTATTGGTAGCTAACAGATACTGTGTTCTCTACTATCCATGGGGCAGCCGAGATGGTTGCCTACAGGTACCTAGCAGCTCCTCTCCCTTTCTAATAGAACCCAGAGTTTTCACTCAGGGGAAACTTGACTCCTCTCCCTTTTCCCAAGGATGAATCTTGACTAATAAAAGGCAGTAATTCTTAATTGGGGTACTTGGGAAATCCTATAGGGCTTTTTTAGTTATCATAGTGATTGGGAGGTAGTAGAGGCAATCAGTGGGCAAGGGCTAACTCAAAGTGCTAAGTATCTTCTAACACACCACAAAACTTCATGATGACGAATTACTGCACATCCCACAACATTCCCATCAAGTATCAACATGGCTGAAAACCTCAGCCTAGAATTCACTTTTCACATGAATCCCAAGAATCTTTTAAATGGGTGTTTTACAGTGAATTTTCCAGGAATGTTATTGTCTAAATCACTTCCTTCACACTAGAACATTAAATTGAATTTCTTATATTGATTTTTGAAAATACATGAATTTTCTTTTTTTCTTTTAAAAGATAGGGTCTCATGCTCTGTTGTCCAGGCTGGTCTTGAACTCCTGAGTTCAAGGGATTCTCCCATCTCAGCTTCCGGGGAAACTGGAACTACAGAGGCACAACACCATACCTGGCTCTGAAAAGTAATTCTAACACAATGTAATACAAGAATGATATGGTCACCTTTCTGCTTAAGTTGTAAGCATGTAATAATTAGAACTGCCTCAAAGAATTTGGGACAAGCAAATACACTGAAGATGGAGGAACATGATAGAGAAAGAATCTGGGTTCCTATTATTTTTGAGCCTTTGAAATCAATGGACTTAGAACTTATTACTATATATTAGGTTTTTTTAATGTAAGCCAGAATTCTGGCTTGGTTTTTGCTACTTGGAACTGAAAGCTACTGGAAAACAGCAGCCCTGGTTTTTATGCTAGATAGAGATTTAGAGACTATTTTAAGATTCCAAATCTAAGGTCTATAAGAGGGAAGGAAAAAAAACCCACCCAGATTTGCCTATGCTGATCATGGCTTATTATTTCATTATACACTAGCCCTTCCAAATCTCGAATTTATTTGCATTTTTAGCCAGTGCCAGAAAATCTTGTATTCGCCCCCTTGGGGAAGTATGAGTCGTGTCATATTCCTGAAGCTAACTTTCAGGTCCTTACCCCTCACAAATGAGATCAAACTGCTTTGCATATTTATTTTTTTTAAAAAATCCAGACTAGATCAAAAACAACAATCATCAATGATGTAGGTGCCAGACAAGCCAGAAGGTAGCTAGAAAAGGTATAACTCAGCAAAGCTAGGGAGCCTCATTACTACCTTTTACTACCTTTAACAACTCTACCTAACATAAATAAGCTTCGTTTTCCATTGTTCTAGCATCTTCTGCCCTATCTACAAACATGGCACAGCTGGCTTGCCTTGTAAGGCCTCAGATGATGGACCCCATCTACACACATGCCAGTACAGCAGTACTTGGCTAACTAGAAAAAGATCTCATCCCCAGTCTATGGCTACCTTCACTGTTATGTGTGAGACGGTTTCATCCCTTGAAAATATGGCCACTTCAGCACAAAACAATGTTAAGTCTTTATACCCTTCTACATGCAGCTGAAAAATGACAGGCTAGGGACAGAACACTGTGAACTTTGTACTGTTGGAATTATTGCCCATTAAATGATCATTAGCTAACAGTCACTAAATTTACAAATTAAGGAAATTATATATAGAATACTGCAAAAACACAGTAAGAAGACTGAAGTTTGCCCATTTCTGCTCAGGAAGTCCCTTCACTCCCAAGCTTCATGTTGTCCTTTTGGCTCCAAAATTTACTACTGTTTCTCCTCCTTTTGATCTTCCTTTTGTTCCCCAGTGCCAGAACTTCCAGAGCCTTCTCGCTCAGATGCCATCTTTTTGTATGCCATTTCGAAGAGCTTCAGTGATGCCTGCTGAAGGGAGAATGCTGCCTGCCGGATGTTTTCTCCTGTTTCGCTGTCTTTTCTAGCCAGGATCTCCCTCATTTTGGAAATCTCTTCTTTTAGCTTGTTGCACTCATCGGCAGGCAATTGGTCCTTGAATTCTTCCATCTTGGTTTCTGTGTCATGAATGATTCCTTCAGCCATATTAACTGCTTCAACTTGTTCCTTCTTTCGTCGATCTTCCTCAACATACTTCTCTGCATTTTTAACCATATTTTCAATATCATCTTTGCTTAACCCACCAGAAGACTGGATTACAATCTGCTGCTCACGTCCTGTGCCCTTATCTTTAGCAGAAACATGTACGATCCCATTGGCATCAATATCAAATGTAACTTCAATCTGCGGGACTCCACGAGGGGCTGGGGGAATTCCAATCAAAGTAAACTGTCCAAGAAGTTTGTTGTCTCCAGCCATTTCTTTCTCACCCTGACATACTTTAATCTCCACTTGAGTCTGTTCATCAGCAGCTGTAGAAAACACCTGGCTCTTCTTGGTTGGAATACTGGTGTTCCTGTTAATAAGCTTGGTAAAGACACCTCCCAGAGTCTCAATACCCAGAGATAGGGGAGTGACGTCCAGGAGCAGCACATCTGTGACATCACCAGCCAACACACCTCCCTGAATGGCAGCTCCAATCGCCACAGCCTCATCAGGATTGACAGCTTTACTTGGGGCTCGGCCAAAGAGATCCTGCACAGTCTGCTGAACCTTAGGCATCCTAGTCATGCCACCAACAAGAATTACTTCTCCTATGTCACTCTTGCTGACTTCTGCATCTTGCATAGCTTTTTGGCATGGAGCAACAGTCCTTCTGATTAGATCAGTGACGATCCCCTCAAATTGAGCACGAGTCAACTTCATGTTCAAATGCTTGGGTCCAGAAGCATCCATCGTAAGATATGGCAAGTTGATGTCGGTCTGCACAGATGAGAAGAGTTCACGTTTAGCCTTCTCAGTAGCTTCCCGCACCCTTTGAAGCGCCATGTTGTCTTTGGTCAAATCAACCCGTCTCTCTCTTGAATTCTTTCACTATGTGTCGTAGCAAGGCCTGGTCAAAGTCTTCACCACCTAAAAAAGTGTCTCCATTCATAGATTTCACCTCAAATACTCCTTTCTGAATTTCCAGGATAGAAATATCAAAAGTCCTACCACCTAAATCATATACAGCAATGATTTTGTCTTCTGATTTGTCTAGACCATAAGCCAGAGCAGCGGCTGTGGGTTCATTAATCACTCGAAGCACATTCAGTCCAGATATCTGGCCAGCATCCTTAGTGGTCTGTCTCTGGAAGTCATTGAAGTAAGCTGGTACTGTAATCACAGCATTTTTTGCTGTGTGCCCCAAGTAATTTTCTGCAGTCTCTTTCATCTTCATCAATACAAATGCTCCAATCTGACTTGGAGAATAGAGTTTTCCATGAGCCTCAACCCAGGCATCACCATTGGAGGCGCGGACAATTTTAAAGGGAACATTTTTAATGTCTTTCTGTACTTTAGGGTCATCATATCGCCGGCCAATGAGGCGCTCGGTAGCATAGAATGTATTGTTTGGATTGGTGACAGCCTGTCGCTTGGCGGGCATGCCAACAAGTCGCTCACCATCTGATGTAAAGGCCACAACTGAAGGGGTGGTTCTTGCACCTTCAGCATTCTCCAGCACCTTTGCTTGTTTACCTTCCATAACTGCCACACAGGAGTTGGTAGTACCCAAATCAATACCAACAACTGCTCCTTTGATTGCTTCTGATGCATAATCCCGCCTGGAAACAATTCTAAAAGCCTCATGACTAAGGCCATTCCAGCCATCCTGGTGGCGGGCGGCCGTGGGGCCCCGGGAAGCTGCGGCGCCCAGGAGACGAGCTGCCGCGGTTCGACTAGCGCTTATCATGGCGGCTATACGGAAGGAGTACGAAGCAGCAAACAAGCACTCGGGCAGCAGAGTGCTGTACGGCGCGCTGGTGGCTGCGCTTCTCAGTGATTCTCAATTTTGACAGCGTATTTAAATTACCTGTAGATATAGAAAAAAAGTTACAACTTCCAGGTCCTACTCCTAATGATTCAAATTTCACTGGTCTGGGTGAGGGCCAGAACAGAAGTGTTTTTACAGTTTCTCCGGGTGATTCTGATGCACAGCAAGAGCTTGTATCCGTAACACTAAATGTGGGTCCCACTACAACAGGAAAAGCTGAAAATTAAATTTATATGGTCTTTTATGATCATATTTACAGTAAACTATGGATTTAATAGATAGGAATAAAGAAAAATGTAGGGCCTGCTGACATTTGGAAACACAAATCCAAATTAAGCAAGATGAGCAGTTAGCAAGATACTGTTGAATAAGATCAGTATTTAAAGTCTTATAAAGATGAAGTTTTTCGTAAAGTTTCAATTTTTCAACTTAAAAACAAAACAAAATAAAACAATGGCATTTGGATCACTAAAGAGTCTACTAAAGCAAACAAATGAATAGAAATCATTTCCATTCCAGTTCTTGGTGTTTTACATTCTCAGACGCCTAAGAGAAAAGTTCTCTGTTTGAAATTGACAAATAATACTGAAACATTTGCTCAGTACTTTCTATGGTAGAGCATATTTCACAAATTAACTATTTTACTTGTCAGAACAATGTTAAGAAGGGTGCTATTATTACTCTAATTCTGCAGAGCATAACCTGAAATACTGAGAAGGTTGGTGATGTGGCCACGTCCATGCAGGCACTAAATATTAAGAAGTCACTCTGATCCAGTCTGATTCCAAAGCCCACATTACCAAACCGTGCGCCTGTGTTGGTATTATATGAAAATTGATCTAGTTAAGATGCACTATGGTCAATAACCAAGGCCAGAATATCACATGAAGAATATGGAACTGGGTCTCTCTCAATCTTCCTACATACAACCATCTGTAATGATCTTGCTTCATACATAACCCAAGGAGCCTCCCTGGCTGCCTACTTTGTGCAGAAGCCACCTGGGGTCCCAGGAAGAAATAAAAAGGTGTGATCAAAAGATAGCCATTTAAAGACCCATACCTTTTATTTCTACCCTATGGAAAACATAAAATATTTTTTGATGTTTACCTACCTAGATGAAAATATATTTTTCTGTGAGAATTCTTGATATTACAGAATTCAGAATTGTGGTAAAATTAATTCTCAGATTACATCATTGTCGCTATGGAAGATAAACAAATAGTGACAAATAAAACAATCTATAAACATATAAACATATATATAAGTAAAACATACAAATTTTTCTATAAATTTTATTTATATAAAATATTTTTTTTCTATTTTTAAACATTATTTTTGTCTTCCAGTTTCTAAGTGAGAAAAATAAGGAGATCTAATTTCTGAATTCTAACTATTTAAAATCAAGATCAGAGATCAAATTCACACACATGCAGGCTATGAATAAAATCTGAGAATATGTAAAGCATTCATTATATTCAGAATTTATAGCAAAAGTCACAATATTAATAGAAAAATTAGTAAAAGAAAGCCAGTAAAATCATTCTTTCTATTTTGTTTTTTTAAAAAGGCAATAAGACAAGTACTCAGGAATAGATACAGCGTAAAAATGTGTTTTAATAAGGATATCTAGTTTCAATGTTTTGTTAGTCTGAAATAAGTTGAACTTAATAAATGGACAGAAATAATAAAGACAATATTTTCACCTATAGTCCAAATATAACAGAGGTGAGACGTAGACAGAGAAAGAGACAGACAGAACAAAGAGATGGACAAATGGAGAGAAAGACAAGAAGACAGAGAGTGAAAAAATGATAAATGGGTAAATGGTCCAGAGTCTGCTTCTGTGGCTGAATTCCAAATGAGCTTCTGAAAAAGACAATGTAGAGATCACTAGAGGAGGTGAACAGGTGAGCCTATGACTTCTAAAACTGGACAAGGTATCGATGATGTCATAATTGCTGACAGTTTTCCAAACTTGTACGAAAGGATTAGAAGCACCCATGGGAAAACAGCAAGGGAGTGCTTTCACTGAACTTTGAGGTTCTTGGATGAAAGGTACAATAACTTTGAATGGAAGTTTGAGTTTCTCAGGATATCAGATGGTGTCATAATGAAGGAAAGCTATTTAAAGCAGATGTATATTCTTTAGGGAGGATATCAGATTTCAGTTCTTATGGATGTAGTAAATAAAAACCACTTGCAAAACTTTTGTTTTTTTACTCTAAACTCTTTAACCCATAGTATAAAATGAGAATTACATATTTATAACAAAAAGTAAATTTCTTAAGTTCTTGTAAGGTAGTGTGTTTATTTAATATTTGTTAAATCAACCACAATAATAAGTTTAGAAAGGGCTCGGGATGGCTGACCAGAGACACCAGCTGCCAGAGCATCTCAATAAGAAGGATAAGTTTTAGATGAAACAGAAAAAATGAACAAACAAACAAATAGACATCACGTGTGGATCTGAGGGAAGGGTGCCTGAACTTTAGGGAGACTCCATAGGAAGAAGTTATGGAGCAGAATAGGAAGGAGCAAGGTATCAGCAGAGATCAACCCCTGGGAGGCTTCCAGTGAAAAGGGTAGGGGAATGGTTTGTTTCTCCCTCCTTTGCATTGCTGACAGTTGGTAGATTCCTGAGATGGTAGAGAGACTTTCTGTCCACATAAGCCCAGAGGCTGCTGCCCCAGTGAGCTAGGAACTTCTTGTGGAAAGGGCATGAGGCTCCCAGCCTCCCCAGGGTGCCTCCTATTTCCACAGACCCAAGCTAGGATGGCAGGTGCCATATAACTTCTTTACCCACTGTGTACCTTTATCCTCCCCAGGGGGCTTCGACTCCTCAGGTTTCATCTTGCTCATTCCCACACAGACATTTCCCAACTCAGGCCCAGACTGCAGGAGCCAAAGGGGCCCGGGGGCTCCTAGGTGATCTGCATGACTCCAGTGTCTATACATCCTGGGTAGGAAGCCTCCTGGAGTGAGGGAAAGACAAGACCAGAGTGCTGGCTTTTCTCCATTCAGACTCTTTTTCTCTTCTTCCCCTCCCACACCTATGGCTGCCAAGAGAGATAATTGAGCCATCACACTGAGGTTTCCACAGAGAGTGGGGCTCAGACCTTTCCTCTTGGGGGTCCTGCAACAGTTTGAAGGGTGCTCAGACTGTGAGCTCCCTGCCCACTGGCCCTCCCTGGTGCTGCTTTCCTGGCAACCCATCAGAATGGGGAATGCCCTGAGGTGGAAATACATTGGAACCTGCTGGGCACACTGTGGGCAACACGAGACCAGGGTGCTTCTCTCTGGCGTGGTCAGGGATTGATCTTTGGGAACCCAGGGATGGGCTCACAGGCCAGAACCCATACCCCCAGGTCTCAATCACAGTGCTCAGGGACACAGAGGGGAGATTTGTCAATTAGTCTCAAGAGGCAAGGGAGCCTGCATGGGCAGATGGGGGTGGGGAGAGTGCAGTGTTGTTCCTAGCTGAAGCATGAAGCATGCTTTGAGGGCATCCCTTCCACCACAGGAGGGCCATGCTCTCTACTCAGGCCAGGATCCTGGGCAGGGAACAACCAGGTATGCATCACAGGCATGGGGGAGCTTAACTGGCTTGAGCTCATGCGTGCCAGCAGATGCTGGAGGGAAACTGTGGAGCAGGGGAGGACAAGGCCTGCTCCAGACAACCAGACTATGAATCTCAGACAGCCCCACCACCACAAGCAGACTTTCTGATTTGGGGGGTGGGGGGGACTCTTCAGCCCCTCCCTGGTGGCTTTGCCCAGAAGCTGGGAGCAGACACTTGACCCCTGCTGAAACCAATACCTTGAAAGCTTTCATGAAGTCTGAGGGCAAGCCCAACCAACCCAGCTACACCCAGCCACACTCCCACACACCCCTCTGCTGTGGCAGAGAGTAAGGACTCACCTGAAGTCCCAGGACCCCAGCCACCACCTGGGGCATTCAAGTGCTTCTCCTGAGGGACTTCTCTCTTGGGTCACAGGACCCAAGAACAGCATTGAAGCATGTTTCTTCCAGCTAGCACCATGTATTCAGGGGGAGCCTCAATATGTGCATGCCCTTTACAGCATTTACTGACTCAATTATACAGGGTGAAGTGATCCTCACCAACAAGCACCACCTACTGTCTCAGTGAATAAAGTGCGTGTACCATTACAATTCACACTGTTAAGACGACTGAAGAGCTGGAGAAAGAGAAAGCATCTCAAAGGCCTCCATTCTCCCTCATCAAAGACAGACAAGGAATCTGTACACTCACATAGCTTACCACACCAACAGCCTACAAACACCTAGAAATTGAGAAAACCACTGAACCAAGGATATTTATAACCAAGGCATCCATTCAAAACCTAGATCACCATCAAACACCCACAAGAAAAGCCAAAGGATGTTACCCAACATACGTTACAAACATACCCATATGAGTGAGGTTAGGGGAAAAAGCCTTATCTAAACAAAAAAAAAAATCCAAAAATAAGAAGTGACAACTGTTCCAGATGAGAAGCCTTCTCAACTGAGACCTTATAAGCAAGAAGGGCCTGGGGCCCAATCTTCAGTATTCTTAAAAACAATAATGGCCAGCCTAGAATTTTATATCATGCAAAACTAAGTTTCTTATATGAGGAAGAAATAAAGGCTTTTTCAAACAAGCAAACACTAAGACAATTTGTCAAGACCAGACCTGCTCTGCAAGAAGTACTCAGATCTGCATTATACACAGATCAGCACAATAGAAACCCACCAGTGTAAAATCACCCAAAAGCTAAAGTTCAGAACCCATATAAAATGATGGCTCAAAAGGTAAAACAATACAATAAGGTTCTACCCAACAGGATGAGAAGAAATGTATCCCACTTATCAATTATTTTGATAAATGTGAATGGCTTGAATTCCCCACTCAAGAGCCATAGGCTGGTTGACTGGATAAGAACATATAAGCCAAGTATATTCTGTCTCCAGGAAACACATACAACCCACAAGAATTCAT